CCCCACTCTCTCACTCTCACTCTCGCACTCTCTCCCGAATATGAAAAAAAAAATTCTCGTTCGTTAAATGGTAATTATAATACAAAAAAAAAAATTAAATAATTAACTTCCTTTTCCTGTTTTGACTTTTAATTACGTAAAAAAAAATTTTTCTTTTTTTTTTTTTTTTTAATTTTATTATGGGATGACGATGACGACGACAAAAAAATTTTCCTGGGCGTATATTATTAATAAATATTTTTATAAAAAAAATTTAACGTACCGTGAAAAAATACGTCACATCCGGTTTAAAAAAAATTTTCACGCATTCAAAAAATATTTCGTATGTGTCTCACAAAAAAAAAATTATTTGGACTTGTTGTATCTCATTTACTCTCTCTCTCTCGTCATTATTATTATTATTATTATTTCGATTATTAATTATTTAAATTAATCGATACGTGGAGGGAATCGATAAATCGATCGAATTTAAAAACCGGAAAACAATAAAAAAAAAAAAAAAAGGAAACGAATCGTTTTAAAATTTTTTATTTGTTTTTTCCCGAATCTACAAATTTTTGCTTTTTTTTGGCGATGAAGTAAAATCAAAATTTAATTAATCATCATCATCATCATCATCATTATCATTATCATTATTATCACTATTCATTTCGTGACGTTTACATTAATTTTTTTTTTTTTTTTTTTTATAAAAACAATTTTTGACAGGGTTTAACCTAATTTTTTGAAACGACAAAACAGTTTTTCAATTTCCTTTTACGAACGAAAAGAATAAAAGAAAAAAAAAATTAAATAATATTGTTAATAATAATAATGATAAAACCTTTTTCCATTAATAATCATCATTATTATTATTATTATTTTTTAATAAAATTATTTTTTGCGAGCGAGTAACAAATAAAAAGAAAAAAAAAAAAAAAAGAGAAAACCTTACGGTAAAAAATTAATTAAACTTTTTGAAAAGGAATAAAATTATTATTATCATTATCATTATTATTATTATCATTATTATTATTAGCAAATATAAACCGGATATTATTATTATTAATAATAATAATAACGACAACGACGACGACAATTTGATAAAAAAAGGAAAAGAAAATCGATGTAAAACGTTTAATTTATCATTTTTCATCGACTGGAATAAATTTATGTTTTTTCTACGTTTTCCTACGTTTATGTTTATGTTTATGTTTATGTTTATGTTTTTATTTATCACCAGTCGCGTAAAAACATAAATAATAAATTTTATATTAAAAAAAAATTTTTTTTTTTTTTTTTTTATTAATGGAAGGTAATAAATTACACGCGTAGTCCGCCGCGGACTTTTTATTATTTAAAATATTTCCGAATAAAATATGATTTTTTTTTTTAAATTTACGCGGGAAAACTGGGGAGGAAAAACGGAAATCGGAAATGATGAAAACAAAACGGATATTGTTAAAATTATTTAATTACCTTAGGAAAATTTAAAAAAAATTATCTCGCGCGCGGGTAATTATAAATGTTTAAAAAATTTTGACCGATTTATTATTATTATTATTATTTAACGTTAGACTTTTGAGAATTAAAGGATAGTCGTGGAAGAAAAAGGGGGATGAATGATTAAAAAAAAGGGGATGATGAAAGGAATACGTGTAACGTTGGGATAATAATAATAAAAAAAAAATGTTTTTATCTTTGCGAAAAGTTTAATGTTTTTTTTTTTACCTTCGCGATGTGATATAATTTTTTTTTTTTTTCATTTTTCGCCATTTATTTTCCTCCTCCTCCCCACGGCACCCCTCCCCTTCCCACCCCCATCAACTACCTACCATTAGCTCTCATCTAAGAAAGGAAGAGAGAGAGAGAGAGAAAAAAAAAAATTTACCTTTGTCAGGTGGTACGCATGGATAACGCGCATATCATACGCGTGATTTTCTTTTTTTCTTTTTTCCTCCTCACTTCCGGTGGCGCGTTTTTCTTTAAAAAAAAAAAAAAAACCGAAATAGAAAAAAAAAAGGAAAAATTATAATTTTCTTTTTTTTTTTCTCAACAATGTGAACCACCCTACGAGTCAAATATAACTTTTTCATTTTTGGGATGCTGGGAAAATGGTTGCTTGGCAACTCAAGAACGTGACGTCATGATTATTGATTCTTACAAGGAGGAATAAAAGCTCTTTATTTTCAAACGGGAAAAATAAGGGAGGGGAGGGGAACGGGAACGGGAAAAAAAACTAAGCTGCATAATTTCATAATTTTCAAAAAAAAAAAAAAAAAAAAAAACCGCCTATTTTTATCATCATCATCATCATCATCATCATCATCATCGTCATCTTTTACTAATATTATTTACATGTGCGTGTGAATGCGTGCATGAGTGCGTAAGTGCGTGGCAACGCTTTGGTTTTTCCCTCGAAAACAAAAAGAAACCTAACGTGAGATTATCATCATCATCATTGTGACGTCACACATCGCGATGATGTTGATGATGATGATGATGATGTTTTAATGATAAAAACGCGCGTTCCTTAACGTTTTAATTATCTCATAGTAGCAGACGATATAGTTGCTACGGCATATTTTTCGAAAATGTGTACGAATTCGTTTTTTACAATAATAATAATAATAATAATAATAATTATTATTATTATTATTTAAAATGTCGGACGAAATGAAAAAGACGACAGGAAAAAAAAAAAATTTTTCGACCGCCCTGAACAACCTATTTTTCGTCGAAGGTTAGGAAAACGTAAAAAAACAACAAAATGACGGGAGTAGACTTAGTGGCGACATTTTTCCCTTTTTCTTCTTCATCTTCATCTTCTCTTTCATCTCTTTCTTATCATTTAAAAATTTTTTTTTGTAAAATTTTGTTCTTTTTTTTTTTTTTACACACATCTCGAATTTAAATTTATTTTCTAGTAATAATAATAATAATAATAATAATTTTAATAGGGAAATAATATTTCAAAAAGGTTTTATAACGTATTTTCAACATTAATTATTATTGCGAAATCGATATCTGTAATAATAATAATAATAATAATAATAATGGGGATGTTGATGATGATGATGATTTGTGTGAACATAATTTTAACGAAAAATAAAATGGCTTACGTAATATTTGATATCATATAAATGTAATTTTTGTGTGTGTGTGTGTGTTTATTAATTCGAGGAAAATAATATTTCAAAATGGCGGATGGTTAAATTTTCTTTTATTTCCATGTTACGCTTCTACCACCTATAAATTTAACGACAACTATATCCGGTTTTTAATTTAAGTTTTCCAAATGATAATCAGGTCGATTAAGTACTCTGACGGGTGGGGGGGGGATTCGTTCCTGATAGGCAGGCACACAGGTATCTTTGAAATATAAAGTTGATGACGTAACATCTTCCCCCTTTTTTTTAACAACGACCGCCATTTCCATATATTTTCTCCGTATAAATTTTCATTTTCAATTCGACAACAAAACAATTGTTCGTTTGTTGTTGTTGTTGTTGTTTGTTTACAAAATATCCGAAATCCATTTGCGTTATAATTTTTTTTTGTTCTTTTGTCTCCATCATGGGGAGGCAAAAAAAAAAAAATGTCGTTATGGTGAATCTTAAAAGATTTTCTTATAAAATATTCTCGTGATTCGATTCGAAAATTTTTCGTGCCCTCTATCGAATCAAATCGAATCGATATCGAATAATTTTTTTTTTGAAAATTTATTAAAATTTTTCTCTTCGAATTTTGGGGGTGGGGGGAAGCGGAGGGTACGTTTGAACAAAAATTTTCCTTTTTTTTTTGTATATTCTATTCCTTTATTATTATCATCATTATTTAATTTAAATTAAATTTTGGAAAATTTTTATCGTTCGTAATAATATTAATAATAATTATGAAGACAAAAGAAAATTTGAAAGATTCTTCCCCCCTTTCCCCTCCCCCTCCTTCGCTTCGTTTCGACAAGAATGCTGTTGTGATGAGTGAATTTAAAATCGTCTGCTTTGTTTGTTTATTTGTTGAAAATGTTTAATTATATAAAATAATAAAAAAATTGTTAATAAATAAATAAGTGTGGCGGAGAAGCGGAGAGGCGGGGGGTGCGAGGGTAAAAGGAAAAAATAAGAGGAAAAACGTATCATACGAGAGTATGAAAATCATAAAGATGAGAAGAGTTTTATCTCACGAGATCCAGGGGAAAATTTTGCTAACAGGCAAGACCGATTGTGGGGGGGTTACCATGGCAACCGAATCCTTTGTTCTCATCCTTTTTCTCTGTCCTCAATTTCTCTCCTTTTTAATGATTATTTCCCCAGCTATTTATTTTTTTTTTTTTTTTAAACTTACATAAAATTTTTTTTTTTTCCTCTTTTTTTCCTTTTCATTTTCACAATGTTTAAACAATTTATTTATTTTTTCCATTGATTTTTTATTTTCCAACACATGAAAATTTTATTTTACTATCATTATTATTATTGTTTATTTTATTGTTTTCATTGATTGATCGTAATTAAAATTTATATTAAATAATTATTACGTTATTGTTTTTAATATAAAAATTCGTCGCGTTTTTTTTTTTATTAAAAAATGTCGACATTTTTGTTTTTTTCTTCTCGGTTGTAATTTTAATTTTTTTTTTATTAATTGTTTAACGTAAATTAAGGTTTTAAATCTTTTTAATTAAAAAAAAAAAAAATTATTTAAAAATAATATTAAAAAATCAGGTACGAAAGAAAAGAAAAAAGAAAAATTTTCTTCAGGTTGTTGTTGTTGTTGTTCAATTTGTGTGAATTTATTTAATTTTCCTCAGCATCATGGACCATATGTTTCATTTCAAATGACTACACGTCTGCCACCTAACGCAGCGTCGTAGAACTAAAATTTTCAACATTTAGTATCACCGAACATCTGTAAGAAACCACAAAAAGAAAAAAAAAATTTGTTTATAACAAATAAGTTTTTGTTTAATTTTTTTTTTTTCTCGGTTAATAAAATGTTAATTTGAGATTTTATTATTAAATATGTCGAGAAATGAAGATAATATTATAAAAGGATCAGTGAGACGTCTCGGTTTTGGTAACGGTTCACCATTAAATTCGAATACCACCGACTTTTCTTGGCGGTTCAAATCAGAATCCATATCAGGACCAACGGATTTGTGTGGCGGTTCTTGGGGTTGGGATGAATCCGATACGGTAAGTTTATTATTATTATTATTATTATTAAAATTTAAGATGAAATCATTTTCTACGATTTTATATAATTTGAACCTTAACAGGAACTTTTACGGTGGGTATTTTTTAAATAAAACTTTTTTTATAATTTTTTTTTTGTATACCTTCGTGAAATTTTAAAAGTACCTATAATTTTTTGTTAGGATCGTCCTCCGCTTGTAGAATCAAGTACAGGTATACAATTCGGTACGTCTGGTACGGAATCAACGCAAGAACATTCATCACCCGGAACGCAAAATCAAAATCAAATACCTGGAAGAAGAACACCATTGGGAGCTGTCGGTCTCGGAGGATTTTATTTTCCGCCATCTTTATTGCAACAGCAGGCATCGTGTTCAGGTCCTAGAGATGAAAATAGTCCAGAACCCAACGTGTCTAATTCAAACATACCATCAACTAACAGGTACGATGATGTTTCACCTTTCAATCGAACCTTTTTTTGTTTTTTAATTGTGTTTTTCTATTTAGAGTTCAAACATCTCGAAATAACACGACAGGAAACGTCAGCAAAGGTAAATCGAGACAAGGAAAACTCGTTAGACTTAATATAAATGCAAGAGAAAGGAGAAGAATGCACGATCTCAATGATGCATTAGACGAATTGAGAAGTGTCATACCTTATGCACATTCACCATCGGTTAGAAAACTGTCGAAAATTGCCACTTTGCTGTTGGCTAAAAATTACATTCTAATGCAAGTCTGTATCGTTTGTATTAATTTATCATCATCATCATCATTTGAGTTTTTCCAGTTTTGAAAAAAATTTTATTTTTCCAGGCCAACGCTTTGGAAGAAATGAGAAGAATAATTGCTTACATGCAAACACAAGGAGCTGTTGCGATGCCTGGAATGCAAACATCTCCGGGTGCTGCTTTTGATCCTCAAACATTTACAAACAACATTCCACAAAAAATTCAACCGCCATCTACGCCTCCTCCAGCAACAGGAGCATCAGCAGCAGCAGCTGTATCACCAGGCTCGTGAATTCTACAAATAACGATCGATCGATATTATCCAATAGTTTTTATATTTTTTTTTTAGTAAAAAAAATTTTTATAAACATTATTAATAACGTATAATCAATAATTATATCGTTACGATACTATTTAAATTGATATTTATAATATCGATCGATACTTATAAAAAATATCTCAATAATGGCGACGATAAATTTTTATTTATTTAAAAAAAAAAAAAAAAAAAAAATTGTGCCTGGAATCTGATCGAAATTTATTTTCTGTCTCTCATTATTATTATCATTTATTAATTTATTCTCACATTCTTAATTTTGTTAATTATTTATTTATTTAAATTATAATTTATTTAATTAGTTATTTATTTTAAATATATATATATATATATATATATATATATATATATATATATATATATATATATATATATGTGTGTGTGTGTATAAGAAAATTTGTTTTAATTGTGATAAGAGAAAAATGATAAAAATAATCGATATTAATTGTACTCTCTCTCTCTCTCTCTCTCTCTCTCTCTCTTTCTATCTCTTTCTGTGTTAAAAATTATTTAATTTATTGTCGCCAATTGATTAAAAATTGTAAAATAATTACAATTTAAAAATTGTAATCGTAGTCAATGGGAGGGAGGGGAAGAAAAAAAATTGTAATTAAAATTTAATTATTAATTATTATTATTATTATTATTAGTTTCAGTTGTAAAAAAAAGAAAAAATCTTATATGGAAGGTAGAATAATTACGTAAGGAAAAGGAAAATTTATTTATTGTAAAATAACATAATTAAAATTAAGAAAGGAAAGGGAAAATTAATGGAGGAAAATTGATATTTAATTAAAATAAGGTATATATATATTAATTAAATTTTTTTAGTTTTAGTTATTTTTAATTTATTTCGTTAATTATTTACGATATTTAGGTGTCGGTTGACGCATTTATATAAAAAAAAAAAAGAAAAAAGGAACAATTAAATTGACATCATTCCTATTTTAATTTTCTATATATATATATATGTTAAACTGGATTTAAAAGGCAAGGTTTATTTATAATATATTCATATGACGTCACGAAAAAATTCTCTAACGCCACGACAAAAAAAAAGTTTTTTAAAAAAAACAATAGATGTCGCTAATGATGTTTTATTATACGAACGGCGGTTTTCGTTGGTTTGGTTTTAGTTAGTAAATGCAACTCGTGTCAGAGGTTGTGGACTCTCGTGTGGCATTATTTGTTTTAATTGTTGAAAACGTTTTTTTTTCTTCATTTTTTCTTCATTTTCAGGTATATTTATTTACTACGTAGGTACACGCACATAAAAACTTTAATTTTACTCGAGAAAAAAATGAAATATATATATAGATGTGCAAACAACGTTTTTAATTATACTTAAACGAATATGAAATAAGGAAGAAGAAGAAGGGAGGGAGGGAAAAAGGAAGAAGAAAAAACGGTTTTTTTTTTTTTTTTTTTTGAAAAAATGAACCAAAGGAAAGTTAAATAGTATTTGGAAGAAGAAGTGGAATATAAAAAAAAAAAATGCAGAGTTGTGAAATTGTGATTGTGCGCATCCAACAAAGAAACGTACTAAGTAGGTTATTGCAATAATTATCATTATTATTATTATTATTTTTAATAAATAAATTAATATAATGTAACGTATTCCGGAAACGTTTATTTCTCTCTTTTTTTTTTCTAACGGAAAGTTTGAAACGTTATGAAAAAAAAAAATGAAAACGAACGAGATTTCGAAGAAGGTTAAAAAAAAAAAAAAAAAGAGAGAGAAAAACGAAACGAAATGCGGGGTTGCATTGTATTCAAACAACAACAACAACAACGACAAACAACAAATTGAAAAAAAAAAAAAAAATGGTTGTTTGTTTGTTTGTTTGTTATTGTTAATAATTTATTTATTTTTGTTTTTTTTTTTTTTTAAATGTATATTTCGTGTGGGTATAATAAACGACGACAAAATATTATTTTTAATTTTAAATTGCGCGCGTCGTAGAACATGAAACGTCGCATTTAAAAAAAAATTTGAAGGCGACGACAACGTCGACAATGAAGTGTAGGAGGAGGAAGAGGGGGTGGAGGAGGAGGGGAGGGGTAGGAGGATGAACGTGAATAACGATTTAAAAATTCATATCGTTTCGTGTATCGAATCCGTCAACGACGACAACGACGTCAACAACAATAACAATAACGACGACGACGACGACGCTACTTTACGCGTTCGAGAACATTTTTAAATTTAAAAAAAAAAAAATAACGAATTTTTTTTCGTTCGTTAATAGTCGGGGAAAAAAAAAATCGAAGCCGGAGCTGTGAATTTTTGTTTTTTTTTTTTTTTTTTTCTTTTTCCCCGCCTCCGGTCGGATCGATTGTACATCACCTAGCAGTAGTCATATGCGTTGCCATGGTTACGTTAAACTTTCTCTGTTATTTTACATCTGCCCCTGATGCACCGTGAAAACACGCACACACACGCAGACACGCGCACGTCCTAACTCACGCACGTACGCACTCACGCACGCATAATAACATAACCGCGTTTTGAATATACCATTTTTTTTGTTTTGTTTTGTGTTTTAATTTTGTGTTTTTTTTTTCTAATGTTTGGTAAATTAATTAAAACTTGCTATGCCTTGTGCCTTATGCTTTCATTGACAACAGTTCTTCATTATGTTATCGTCGTAGCTATTGTCGTTGGTTTTCTATTTATTTTAAGTCTCGGTGAGTGATTTATCCCTTTTTGTTTATGTATAATTTTGTTTGTGTTTGTTTTCATTTCGTTTGCCCGAGGAGGAGGAGGAGGAGGAGAGTGGGAGGGTAGGAGGAGGGGGAAATGCGTTCATTTCGAATTTCGTAATCGAGCCGATCGTGTACGCCGCCCGTCCCCGTGCGGTTATTGTCGTTGTTGTTGTTGTTGTTGTTGATCTTTTTTTTTTTTTTTTATTAGCACGCTTACGTAAAAATTTGAGTTCGTTAACGATAAAAATTATTTCTTTTTCCTGTTCTCCTCTCTTACGTCACCTTCAGCCCCTCTTTCCCAGTGAATTTCCCAGCGTAAAACAACAACAACAACGTTCTGACGCACACGTCAGAATGTTTCTCTCTCTCTCTCTCTCTCTCTTTTATTATTATGCCTCCCGATTGCGTATTGCGAAAAAAAAAATATATATATATATATATTTATTAAATAAAATGTAGAAATTATTATTATTATTATTTACGTAAAAGCACGGCTTGGGCTACTTGTCGTAGTAGTTGGAAATGAAAATGTAAAAGTTTCAGTATATACGCCATACTAGTTGACCTTGTTGCTGGCTTTGTCCCTGAAGTCTGTGGGACGTCATGTAATTTCTAGCGTGAATTGATAACATGTTTAACTTATGACGAACACCGTCAACCTCGTCCTCGTTCTTGTGAAAGAATGTTTTAGTTTTTTTTTTTTTTTTTTTTTTTGTGTCCCGTGTTATTCAGTAAACGCTAACAGTCAATCAGGGGCGGATTAAGCTCGCTGATAATTTTTATTTCCTTATCAATTGAGTCGTGACCGGTTTGATTTTTTTTTTTTTTTAATTTCGTTCTACCGTTCGTTTTATGTTTAAATAATCTATTTATTTATTTATTTTTTAATAAATTTATTAAAAGGATTTATGTACGTATCATAATTTATTTATTTATTTGTTTTAGATTACAAAAATGTTGTTCGCGACGGATAATGAACACGGATAGATGCGAAAAATCAAATGTTTTTCAATATTCAATGAAAAGGAAATTTGGAAAATAAAATAATAATAATAATAATAGTAATACGATTCCAGTACGAGACTTAGTTTGATATTAATTAATATTATGGAAGTCAAAAGGCGTTTTGAATTTGTTGATTGGTAACATAACTACATGATAAGGAGGGATGAATGAGGTCGAGGGCATGGACTTATCAGAGCGCTCCCGCCTACATTCGCCTCCGTCCGCTTGTTTAGTGTCAGATGAATTGAATTCGAACGTTTCCGAAAACGGTTCTACTACCACTTCCGAAAGAAGCTCCTGTGCCATACCAAAGACCAATTGTAACCAAGGTGCTTTAATACTATTAGAAACAAGCGATATCGATAATTGTGTCGTAAATGATTCTAACAAATCTGATGCTAAAAAGGATGATGATGATGTAAATAAAGGTGAACTTTCCCGCGAATTACTTTCAAAAGATACAAAGAGTGAGGTATCGGGTTGCGAGACCAAAGACGTTTCGAATTTTGATAGTTCCGAAGACTGGAGGATAGATATTCAACCTGCTCAAATAATAAAAGAACTCGATGAAAATTATTCGAAATATAATAATAGTAATAATCCATTGTCTTCTACCGAATGTTGTAATGATTTACCAGAAAGCCAAGTGTTGAACGAAAATGGCGGTGGCGACGACGCCCAATCTAGTTATTTCAAATACAAGGAGAATGACGAGTCTGAATGTAAAAAATGCTCGGCCAAGTCGGTGGAAATCTCGGAAAATTCTAACAATTCAAACAATTCAAAATTGTGTACTTTTACGGAAAAAGAAACCGAAGGGGCGAAAGATAATTCCTTGGATTTGCCAAATGACGGCCAATCAGAAAACTATAAACTGGGCCCGACGTTTACGGAAAACTCTGAAAACGAAGTAGAAAAAAGCGACGGAAGTGATTCAGGATTGGGGTCGGAGTTGGCTGATGAAAAATTAGAATCGTCCGTTATTCAAGAGGGAGGAGATTCGGATTCGAAAACATCGGAAATTGATTCGGTTATAGGATGCGATACGGAAATATCGCATGAAGAACAAGTTTCTACCGAAATGGATCCGTCGGAGCGATGTGACGGAAGCGATTCTGGATTGGGTTTGGAATTGAGTGACGAAAGAGTAGAACCTTTTCAATTGGAAACCGAAAACGATTCTAAAATAACGGTGTCGTTATTACCGGACCCCGGTTCTTGCTTGGAAGTCGACGAAGACAAATCAGACTTTCACATAGAAGCTCCCGCGTTAGATGATTTGAAATCATCGACTTTCGAAGAAATAAGATCTCATTGTTTGTCGTTTGAAGAAATTAAAGATAATTCTGAACCTTTGGAAACGCCGCAGCCCAATTTAGATTTTCCCGTTTATTCATTATGTGAAAAACCTGAAGAATCTAAAACGATAGAGCAAGAATTACTCAAACCCCTTCCGGAGAATCAAATACCGCTGAGAAGTAGTTTGAAAAGAAAAAGTGACACGGATTTGGATATAATACCGAAGAAAAAGCGTTCCATTTCCTTTGACACCGTTTCCGTATATTATTTTCCGCGGGCACAAGGTTTTACTTGCGTGCCATCTCAAGGAGGTTCCACCCTCGGAATGTCTCCGATTCATTCTCACGTTCAGCAATTCACATTATCAGAGCATGCAACCGAACAAAGGCGATTACATCGATTAATGCTTCAACGATTGAGAAACGAAAGGTTGCAACCACCTTCCGACACGGATGATACAGAAAGCGATGAAGAACCCACAGATGAAGACGAAGGTGAAATGGATCTCGATAGTTATTATTTTTTACAGGTAACGAATTTATTTATCGTCTTATTTCAACTTTCACGGTTACTCGATTACAAAATTATATTAATATTTATTGTATTTGCAGCCAGTATCTGCGAGGCAAAGGAGAGCTCTACTGAGAGCGGCAGGAGTTCGGAAAATAGATTCCGTGGAAAAAGACGAATGTCGAGATATCAGAACGTCGAGAGAATACTGCGGTTGTTGTTGTAAAGGCTATTGCGATCCGGACACTTGTTCATGTTCTCAAGGAGGAATTAAATGTCAGGTTGATCGACTTCATTTTCCTTGCGGATGCACGCGAGACGGTTGCGGAAATCCAAGTGGGAGAATTGAATTCAATCCGGTTCGCGTTCGAACTCATTTTATTCACACCTTAATGAGGTTAGAATTAGAAAAAAAACACCGTTTGGAGGAAGAGGAAATTAAATCCGAACCCTTCAGTAAAATAGATCAATGGCCCGTTGAAACATCCACATCGGAGGGAACGGGATTCACTGACGCACAATCAATTGATTTATATGCTTGCCGTGACGATCAGTACGGTGTGAAATCTTGCGGGAGCATAGATTTGGATACTCCCTCAACATCGAGTTTGGTTTGCGCTCAAACAAGTAAAACAAATCACGATATAAATTCACTTCAGTTTCATTCTTTGACTCCGAATTTTCACAACGCCATAGACACTTTTCACGAATCCGCGTCGAAATATCAATCCCATTTTTCAACCTTTTCATTTACTCCTCATCAACCCATCGGTGGTTTTTCACACTACGGTACCATGTATTCCCAAGAAATGCTATCGAAAGATTTCGGTACGAGCTCTTACAAAGGTTTACTCTGCGAAAATTTCAAAACAACCACTACTTCCGATACATTTTCCATGTATCCCTCTTTAAGAGATGGTTACGTACCGGTTAAAGACGGTGAAAACAAATCCAACGACCCCAATGTACCTCCCAACACGAGTACTTATGCAAGTCTTCACACCGTATTTTCAAACAGTAGCCGTTTGGAACCCTTTTCGGAATTGTTACAAGGCCGTTATCCGGTTCTACCCTTGTCCGTGAATTCAGATCCAGTTTTCGATGATCATTCTTCTCAAATGTGTTCTTCGACAATACTGTCTCAGACTCCTCACGAGCCATTGTTTACAAACAATGATATTAATCACGAATCGTCGGTGGAAGAAAAAATTGTCGATTTGCCGATACCAAACGTTGAAAAAACCGAACAACACGAAGAAGCAGAAGAAAAAGATGAAGAGTTAAAGGTCGAGTCGATTCTTACGAAAGAAACAGTTTTGGAGGACGTTGGAGAAAACAAAATTGAAAACGAAGACAACAAAACTAAAATCGTAACAGAAGACAAACCTTTAAAAACGCCATTGAAAGAAACAACAACAACAACAAACAATGGAGAATTCGATGAAAATTTAGGTGAAATAATAAAAAAATCAATGGTTGAAACTGTTTCTTCTTGAATGTGTTGTTGTCGACCCTCTATTTTCGACTACACATTCTACATATAAATATTATTATTATTATTATTATGTTATTGATTACAATTTACCTATTCTTATTATTATTATCTTATTATTATTATTATTATTATTATTATTATTATTATTATTTAAAAAAGTAAAAAAAAAAAAAAAACTTGTAAATTTTTTCACACCTATTTTAATTACATAATTTTTAATTTTTGTAATATATGAGTTGCTTTAGCACACCCCCTCCCCCTCCCCCCCGTAATTAATGGTATTAAACAAAATGATAATTTATAATATATATTACACAAAAATAAAGTTACCATTAATAAATAGCTAAATTGTAAAATAAATGTAATGTATTCCCAAATTTAAAAAAAAAAAAAAAAAAAAAAAAAAAAAGTATTTTATATATAAAACGATATTATCTTAAATAATAAAAAGTCATTCATTCATATTTAAAATTTATTAAATTATTTTATTACAAAAATATTTTAATATTTTAAGGAGACATTTAATAACATCTTAATTCCTAATATATCAATAAATTATGCTTATTTTTTCATTTATTATTATTATTATTATTATTATTATTATTATATGCTTAAACGTATTTTTACGTATAAAAAAAAATTTTCTTTTTTTTTTTTTTTTATTTTTATTTTCCCAGCTAACGTTAATTTGCGTACGTGACAAAATTCGTTTCATTTTTTTTTTTTTTCTGATTAAGTTGGCTGTACTGTAAATGGTCGCGCGTTCGATTTTATTCGCAGTTGAGATTTTATTCATTTTGATAAAGGAAAAAATTTTACAAATTAAAACAATACATGAAGTCTAACGTTAACGATGTAAGTATTAACACTTTATTAAATAGTTTTTTTATTTTTAATTATTTTATTAGAATCCATTTTGTTTTTTTTTTTTACAATGCGTGTGCATTATTATCCCACCAATAATAATGATATTGATTATAAGTAAAAATAACATTAGGGATTGATTTATTATCATTGTTATTATTATTTTTTTTTAGAAAAAAAGAAAGGGTTAAAATGTTGGAACCTATAATGAATACCTTAAAATCTCAAAGGATAATCCTTGCAAGTTCTTCGCCTCGTCGTAAAGAAATATTAAAACAAATTGTAAGTGACAAAAATTTATCCCAAGTTAACCTCCATAGAATATTTTTTATAATTTTGACTTTCATATGAAATAAATCAATATGGTTGCTCACACTTTTTACAATGGTTTAAGTAAAAATAATTTGATTAATTAATTAATTCATTCAGTCGAATAAAATTTCATCATTAAAATTTATAGTAAAGATTTACAAATCGACATAAATCTTATTAAAATGAGTTGTGTGATGATGATAAATGTTTTAGGGTATTGATTTTGATGTTATCCCATCGAATTATGAAGAAAATTTAAATCCTCATGATTTTCCCAGTCCATCCGAATTTGTCATTGCAACAGCAGTCAATAAAGTCGAAGAAGTGAATAATCGTCTTGATAAACTCTGTGAAAAATATGATATTCTCATTGGTGTAGACACAATTGTTCACATGAATGGTAAAATATATGGGAAACCCAAAGACGAAGAAGAAGCATATAATTTTTTAAAATCATTTAGCAATAATTGTCACAGTGTTTATTCCGGAGTGTGTTTAAAAACTCGAGATAAAACTTTGGTTTTTAGCGAAATGACAAAAGTTTATTTTGGCGATTTAAATGATGATGTTATCGAAGCATATGTTAAAAGTGGTGATCCTATGGACAAAGCTGGCGGTTATGGTATACAGGTCAAAGGTGGTAGTTTTATAGAAAAAATTGATGGCGATTACTTCAATGTTGTCGGCTTGCCATTATATAGTTTTTGTAAGCATTTATTAAAACTTGTTTCTCTTTGAGATGGATAGTTATTTATTTATATTTTATTAAATAAGATAAAATGACAACACTTTTTTTTATTTATTTAATTCTCTTTTAAATTTTTTTTTTTGTCCTTCAGATACCATTTTGATAACTTGAAGATAACATTCGAGAAGAAATTAACATTTTTTATGTTTAACAAGAATTTTTAACATTTGAAAAGTAATAGAAGAAAATAATTGCTCACTTTTTTTGAATCGAGAAATAACAAAAAAAAAAAAAAAAACAAACAATGAGTAATTGAAAATTTTTTCTCTCTCTTTTTCCAATTTTTTTTTTTACTACTATCAGTTAAAAAGTTTTTTTTTTTTTTTTTATTATATCAGGTGATCCTTTTGTTGTCCTCCATAAATAATTACTCATCGTATTTTCCAGCTGATACGATTCTAGTACGTTCCAGTATTGGAGTATACTCATGTTGAAAAAGAGAGAGAGGGAAAAGTTATAAAGACCATGTTATAGGAGAGTTAAACGTAAGCGATATTCATTTATTATTTATTTCGTATTTAACAACACTCTCTAGACTATATTTTATGTTTTTATGTTCAGTTGTTATTCTATCTTGGTGCGAGTGAGATGTTTGCCGTTTGTTACGGTTGTTATTGTTTGGTTTGTGTCGGTTAAAAAAAAAAAATCGTGGATTGTATTTTTTTTTTTTTTTTTTTTGGTTTTTCGCGTTAATTTTTTTTCCAATTGACGAACAAAAAAAAAGGAGAAAATTTTTATTTTTTATAAATTTTAATGGAAAAATTTAAAATTTATTGAAGGATATTTTTAAGGATATTTTAAATCGACGAGTTTTTTTTTTTTTTTTTAAGGTACGAATTTATTTTATATTTGAAAAAAACTCAAAAGCAACAAATTGTTAAGAGTAGTTGATTGTTTTTGTTGTTATATTTCGATTCGTAAAAATTTAAGGTTTCCCTCGTAATATATGTCGTCATTGTTTGTTTATTAACAAACAAAACAAACTTTTTTTTTTTTTTTAGTACGTTGACTTAAACTTGTAGGCGTTTAGGTGAAGCAAAAAAAAAAAAAAAAAAAATCAATAAAAATTAGTTTAAACGATCGATTTTAAACGTTCATAGTTCGAATAACGATTTTAAATTATTATTATTATTATTATTATTTTAGTTCGTTTTTTGATTGATTGTTGTTATTATTTCGTCCCCCTTTCTCCCGCCCCCCCTTCCCGTTGATAAAAAAAAATTAATTAATCGTTTATTGAGATTCCAATAGAGGAAAAATGTTTGGGTTTTTAATAAGGTGTACAATTTTTATCTGTTGTTGGGATAAACACCGGATGCTGCGTTACATAATGGGATATAAATTAGAGTGTGTGTGTCTTTCGTAGAGTTTGTAACGTTAAAAACCATATATACAATACCACCTTTTTTTTTTTTTTCCATTCATCTGCTTCCTGTTTCATATTATTTTACCAAATAATAATAATAATTATTATTATATTTTAAAGAAAAGCCCTTACCTGATCTCCAAAAGAAAAAGAGATAGATAGAGAGAAAGAAAGAGAGAGCACATTCGTTCATTGTTTTTTTTTACTTTTTTTTGTACCTAAATTTTTTTTTTTTTTTTTAAACCGATTGGAATTTTCACGGTTGATGATCGTGGAATTATTAAATATAATAATAATAATAATAATATGTTGAACGTGTGACACGTACCATATAAGGAAAAATGGTAGCCAGGTTTTTTTTTTTTTCTTTTTTTATTATTATTATTAAAAATACCACATTGACCTAGTCTAACTGGTTTGTTAATAACAATTCAAAGAATTTATCGTTAATAAATTATTATTATCATTATCATTATTATTATTACTATATTATTCTTAAATATTATTATCTAATTCGTTCGTAATATTTTTTGGCAGAAATTTTTTCTTTTTTTACATAAATACGATTATAATAATTTATATATTGTCGATTTTCCAAGATTTCCACAAGGTTCGAGTTATTTATTTGACGTATGTTTTCACTCTCTCTCTTTCTTTCCCTCCCTCCCTCCCCCGTTTGTGAGGAATTGTTTGAAATAACGAACGAACGAACGAATGAATGAATGAATGAATGAATGATTTCTTTTTACTTATCCGAAAGGTAGTGAAAATTTGAACGAATGAGAGTTGTCGGTGGGGGGGGGGGTGGTGAGGATTTTAAGATAGGAAAAAATCTGGACTTTTTTTTTTTTTTTTAGGGGGAGGAGGGGGTGGAAGTCCTTCGGGATTTGGACAAAAAAAAAAAAATCGTTCGAAATTAAACGTGCAATTAAATATAATTAACAAATTTTTATTTTTATTTTTTTTTTGTTTATAGTAATAATTTTTTTTTTTTTAAAAAGGTAATGAAAGACGGATCGGTATTTTTTTTTGGTTGTTGTTGTAGTTGTTGTTGTTGTTGTGCTCACGTAAAAAAAAAAAAAATCAACTTTATGGACTCGGGAAAAAAAAATTTTTTTTATCGTGGGAAAATAAATTATGTTCATAAACGTTCGTAAACCACCGTTCGAAAAAATATTTTTTAACAACGGGTTTTCACACCCAGTTTTTCCTTTTTTTTTTTTTTCTTTTTTTTTTTTTAAGCGCAAGTATTAATAATAATAATAATGATAATCGAACGATTTTTTTGTTGTTGTTGTTGTAGTAATTATAAAAATTTTTGCTCTTAATAATAATGATAATAAAACCTTGAAAGTTGTCGTCGTCGTCGTCGGTGTTATTTTTAATATTTAAAGAATTTGTTAAACCCCGAGGGTAAAAAATTTTCTTTTTTCTCGTTTTTAAATTATTTTGTTCAGAGGTTGAATAAATGGTTTTTTTTTTAAACGATTCGATGGGGTGGGGGGGGGAGAGTTTTCACCGTCGGAATTTTTAATTTATTTTATTTTTAATAATAATAATAATAATAATAATTTTTAAACTGTGTCAAATGGTGTTTTCGCACAAAAGAAAAATTTTCTTTTTAAGGATTTCACTTGCTTATGCGTTATTCTATGAGAATTTTCTCACTGTTGCGAATAGTTTCCCCTCCCCTCCCCCCCAAAAAAAAAAAGAATTTCGAAAGTAATATTAATAATAATAATAATAATTATATAAATAATTGAATGTTTTGTTGTTAATTGTAATTATTATTATCATCATCGTCGTTTATTTTAATTATAATGAGTGTGTGAGTGCACGTGTGCGTTTGTTGAACGACTCGTTTGTTTAAAAAATTAAAAGGAATTGTAATTTATATTATTATTATTATTATTATTATTATTATCATCGTCATCATATTATTTATTTATTTATTTATTGAGAGGGAGAAAAGGTTTTCATTAAATTAAATAATTACACACCATTTTTACCCCCCTTAAGGTTTTCTTGTTTTGTTTCGTAATATTTTAGTATACCTATGTTAAAAAAATACAATAAAGTCGAAAAGTAAATATTTATTATTATTATTATTATTATTATTAATAATAATTAATTTTAATGATTATTAATTACTCTTTATTATCATCATCATCATTATTATTATTGTTAATAATTGTTGTTGTTTTTGTTTTGTTTTTTTTGAATAGCGACAACGAAATTATTATTATTTCTAGTTTTTATCATTATCATCATCATCATCATTATTATTAATATCACTTACCGGTACTGCTAATAGCATTTTTCCCTGCCTTTTTTTTTTTTTGCACCTGTTTAAAAAGGTTTCATAATAATTAAAGTCAGGTAGTCGTTGCCGGAGCGAAAATTAAAAATTTTTACACGAAAGTTGAAGGACGTTTTTTTTTTTTTTTAAATATCATTTGGAATCCGGCGGTTTCTTATTGCTCTTATTATTATTATTATTATTATTATTATTATTATTATTATTATTATTATTATTATTAATTTTTTTTTTTTGTTTTAAACAAAAAAACTCTGTTTGACTTATTAAATACGCGGTGTTGATTTTTTTGTTTTTATTTTCGTCAGTGTCAAAACATTTAAAATGTTATCGTTAAAATGGGGAAAAATTAGTTTTAATTAGTTTTAGTGACGCACAATCGCCCATTGACAAAAGGGAACAAAGCAACAACAACAAAAACAACAACGACAAACAAAACAACAACAACAACAAACGTCATACTCCCCCTAAAAAAATAAAAGAAAACTCTGTGCGGACTCTATCGTAGGTGTTTTTGTATGATAATAAATTAGTATAAGTATTATAAAAGTGGCGAACGATGATGATGATGATGATAATGATGATAATAATAATACTACTCGTTGTAGTCGTACATGAGGAAATAAATAAATTATTTTTTTTTTTTGGAATGAAAGAATTACGATTGAATGGAAAGATTAACACGTTTTTTTTTTTTTTTTATTTTTATTTCCCACACGTAATCGAAGGTTCAAAGAATCGTTGAATTACATTCAGCATTAGGATGCGTTCGCGTTTTTTCTTTCTTTCTTTTTCCCCCCTCCCTCCCCCCTCCCCGTCTCTCTCCTCGTTTTATAATACGTGAACGCGTGCGTGAACGTCTCATCGTAATGAAAATGATGTTAACGTAAATTCATTCATTCATTCATTCATTCATTCATTCGTTCGTTTCTCACTGAATATTTTATAATAATAATAATAATAATTAGGATGAGCGTAATGAAATTTCTTAATTTTATTTCACACCGTCGATTAATTATTCTAGAAAAAAAGAAAATGGCGATTATATATATGTATTGAAGGAATTGTTGTTGATCTCGTTTATGATTTCGTCGTACGCACGTGATTTAAAGTTTTTACGTTAAATAATAATAATAATAATAATAATAATAATAATAATAATAATAATAATGAAATGGCCACGGGTTAAATTATGTCATTTTTTTTTTTTTTTTACAAAATAATTGTGATTCAAAAATATTGTCACGATTCCGTGTAAATAGTAGTTAGTTAGTTAGTTACGTCGAAAGTTACGCAAACAAACATTA